TGAATTCTCAGTATACGGCCCCGCTAGCTGTACAATAGACCTAGTGTTGCGTACATAGAACTCTCATTGATTGATTCACGGACCGTTTGATTTCAGTATCCCATAATTCGTCCGGAAGTCACCAATAGTTGTTATGACAGCCAACCAGGCTTGGATTTACACTTGAAGAGTCCCTGAGGTGCCCTCCATTATAACACTAGCTAATCTCATAAAACGTTAAAAATTTATCATCATCATGTGCCTTGCCGACTGGCGGGGACGATATTGACTCTTCATAATCTGCGATCTGCAACTGCGTGTATCAGTTCGTATGTTGACATCCCTCTATGCCATGACAAAAGACTGTTAAGAATCTTTTCCCACTGTCTTCACCTCTCTCTCTCTCTCTCTCTCTCTCTCTCTCTCTCTCTCTCTCTCTCTCTCTCTCTCTCTCTCTCTCTCTCTCTCTCTCTTTCCACAGATCTTTCTAATGGTCACAACATGTTCCATTTTCCCTCTCCTCATAACATGACCCCCCCCCCCCCCCCCCCCCCCCCCACCAAAAAAAATGATGACTGTCTCTTTCTGATGTTTGTGATAAGTTGTCTTCGAGCATTCGCCTTTTTCAAAACACCTGGGTTGCTCTTCTTACCTGTCTAAGGAATTCTGAGGATTCCTCTGTAAAACCACGTCTCCGCGGCCCTAAGGTATTGTTCTGCTAAAATGTAGACGCCTTTAAAATATACGAGTAATGGAGAGAAAAAAAATACTGTCGTTTACTCTAATTTAATTTTTAATTTTGTTGTTGTTGTTGCCAGATGACATAAATTATTTAAACAGACGTACACATTTTCTGGGTAGAAAACACGGAGATGTTCCTGCAGCTTAGCTCTAGCAATTTCTGAGCATGGGCACCACCACATGTCAGCTGTATGCTGCTAACACAGACTCAGTGTGGCCTTCTCAAACCTCAAAGAAGACAAAGCTGTAAGGCACACCGAGAGATTTTGAATGGAAGGTAGCTTTCATTAAATTACCCAGCTCCTGACATAAGTTTTTTGACAGAAGGATCGAAGCAATAAATTATATTATATAATCCTCTAAAAAAACAAAGTCCTAAATACCGAATGAAAAACTTTCTTTCTTGAAATATGAATTTCGTTAAGACTCCTGCAGGTTGCTTAGTCCTCAGCTCATTTAGCTTAAACCTAATCCAACACTGGGAGTCACCGTGGCGTAGCGGCTAGACGCTCGCGTGCGGATCGGATGGTCGTGGGTTCGCGCCCAGGCAGAGCCGGATTGTTTTGAAACTCCCAGGTCTACCCAGCCTTCAGTGGGTACTGGGTGTAAACCCGTTAGGTAAAGGCGACCGGCGTGGTGCTGACCACATCACCCATATTGTGCCGATTGGTTTATAAAAATATAGGTCGAGCCCTATACGCCTAAAGGCATGGAAAAGGGACCTCTACTTTCATTATTTTTAATCCAACACTGGGGCCAACGAATACTCGTCCTGACCAGTCTATGACTACTGGTTAAAACTGGTTGGTTTTATCTTTTGACAGAGAGATAGAAACGAGTGTCCAACAAGCCCACATTGTCACATACTAGCTTTCACCAATTAAAAAAAAAAAAAAACCTGCTATCCCAATAGAGAGAAAATTACAAATTATAAATATTTATACCGACTTTAGGTTACCTGTGTCAGACTTGGACATTGACAAACGTACACGAGAGAAAACTTACCACCTTTGAGATGAGATGTTTGGGAATGGCTGTAAATAAAACCAGAAGAGACAGAGTGAGAAACGACGAACGACGTGATCACAAGAACTCTTGGAACAACACCCATCGTCAAATTTATTGAGAAACAAAGATTGAAATGGTTTTTCTTTCAGATGAGAATGAAACCAACGAAGCCAGCAGCAAGGGCGAACAACCTGAAAATCGAAACACCAAGAGACAGGCAAAGACAGAGAAGAAGATGGACTGAAAAAGTCACTGACGTCTTGAGACTGCATAACATCATCGCCTCTACAACTGCCCTAAATATGTCTGTTTTGGAAGTTGAATGGGGTATCTGAAAAGTGTCTGCCCTGTTAGTCTACCATGAATTTTTAAAAAATTTTTTAAAAGAAAAATTTTAATCTCAGTGTTGCACACCTTCAGATAACAGAGCATGGGGGAGACAACCGACCTATAGATCGACAGTTTTACTTTTCTTTTTCCTTTAGTGACTGTGACGTGGTTAGAATGAAGACTTCAAATTTACATTAGGGTCTAAAGAAAGACAAAATTATTTGTATTGGACAATGTTTTGAAATCAATTTTCTCTGAGCTGTTTGATGAGATTTACTGAGCTCTCGGTATTTTATTGACATCTTTTGTATTCGACTGGTGAACAAATTCAGTTTTTCATTGCGCAGTGCACTCGATAATTGATGATCAATTGATGGCGCATTGTTCGCTGTGTGCAGAAATGTAACGATTTTAAGCGAAAACGTCATTTTGTAGTTAGCAGGCATTAAAATGTGGATTTGATTAATGCGTCAATCGGAGAACGCGGGGTTTTTAGCTATATAAACAGCTTTGAGGGCACAAGGATAAAGATCGCATAATTGCAGGCTTGTGTTTTTAATGGTGGTTTTTAAGTTTGGACTTAATGTTAGATACTTTGGTGTGTGAATTATTTTCCTGTAGATTTCATTTGTTGTTATTTAAATTCCATCATCATCACCATCATTATCACCAGCTTCGTCTTCACAGTATTTGTCATTTTACGGATGTTGTAATTGTCATAGTCAGTTGCAATATTTGTGACTGAAAATATCTTATTTCTCTTCTTCTGCCTCAGTAATGTCATCCTCCTTGTCCTCATCCTCCTAGTTCTTCTTCTTTATTTTCTTATTGCTTCCTCTAGCTCATCATCATCGTCGCAAACACCATCGTTACTATTCCCGCGTGTGTGTGCTGAGTGATTCTTTGAGCATGATCCGGCGGGTCGGGGCAGGCTGGTTTCGTAGACAGTGGTTTGAGTCGTTGCACAATTCTCCTGTGTGTGCAGTTACTTTCATATTCGTCCCAGGTCATGCAGGCGTTGTTGGTAATGAGAGAGCTGATAGACTGGCAGGCACTGCATTAATTGAAGATGGCCGGCCCATGGATCACGCAGACATTGTCATTGCCCTTAGAGAGATAGGACGTTCTGAGGATTTTGACATCAACGTGTCCACATCACTGCTAAGAATACGCGAATTGGGAGTAAAGATCGGGACAGCCAAGCATGAGAAGCACACGGGACGCACGCGAAGTCTTGTTAACCAACATAGGACTGGTACTATTAACCGCACGACGCTGATGAATATGTTGAGATGGGAATCTGAGCGCCTATGGATGTGTCCGGAGTGCTGTGAAGATAATCTAACTGATAACCATCGTCATCTTCTCCTTCCTCTTCTCAGTCGGCATTTGTGGCTTGGACGTTCCGAACACATTTTACAATGCTCGGGGTCGGGGTTCAACCCATCTGCGGGCGATTTGGCAGCAGACTGCCTTACATTGGTTTGGACAGTGGTATCGAGAGCCGGCCGTTTAGTGGCAGTAGCTAATGTAGGTAAACTGGCCTAGAAAAAAACCATAACAACCAACAAATGCTGGTATTGGTTTTTCAAAGTTCTGTAAAGTCTAGGCAATGATCTTTTTTGCTCTTCTTCTTCTCATCGCCGCTGCCATTTTAAAATCGTCGTCCTCTCACTCTTTTTCTGTCACTTATGTCATTGTCTTTATTATCATCGAAATTGACGTCATTATCGTCATCGTGTAAGCATCAAAACCATGATAATCATACCTAACATCATCAACTTCGTTCTCAGTCTCATCAAATGTTTCCAATATTTAAGGGCTCTACCGCACATAAACTGCATCAGAAACTCTAAATGTCTTAACTGGGCTATACGTCAGTGACTCTGTTCTTGTTTCTCTCTCTCCCCCCCCCCCCTCCTCTAAAAAGAAAAGTAGTTTTTTTCTAATTAAGACAATGAAAACACTATATTTTAGCACAGATTACAATTTATTTTATTTCATGTGTCAAACTACAAGTTTTACAGATGTAATCAAGTGATTACTAATTATGGAAAACACCATAACGTGCAGGATGTGTTCATATTGGTTTACGACAGAAACGGATGACAGTTATCACGTTATCAATTGTACATTGAAAGTAATGGCGTAAATAGAAGTGACTGCAGTCGAGATGACATCAAAAAATAATAAAAACAACACAGACTGTGACTAAAACGTTCAACAGATAGAATGGAGAAGAGGTGTACAAATATAAGCGAACGTTTCAACGAAAGTCTTTATCAGCTTCGTATCGGTGCTGACAAACTATAAATGGCCTAAAGAACCGTCCGCAAATAATACTATATAATCAACCTGGTCAATGAACAATATTTCTAATTCACTTAACCCGATCTGTGAACAATATTCACTCACGGAACTGGGGGTGTCTTATTGATATTGCATATGCAACTTGTTACTGATTTCTGTTTCCATTTAACACTGAACTGAAATTCTACTGGCGGAATATTTGAGTCACTACTTCTGATGGCTGCATTATGAATTTAATGCGAGTTTATGCAATTTGCTGCGCCCAGATTGCAGTCAGTGTAGTTATTGTTTGACAAGTGACAGTGATATGTGTTCTGTGTTGGGTTTTCATGGAAAAGGGACAGAGAAACTATGATGTGACTTATTTTCGTAAAATATTGAAATTTAATAACAAATAACAGTATCTCTTATTCTCTTTAGCTTACTATCAGTGACTACACTGATAGACAATCTGGCATGATGAACTCGACCATTCTCAGGAGACCCACTTTGGCGCCATGCAACTTTAAGTAAAAAGAGTTCTAAAGTCGGCCGGATCTTTCTCTGCTCGCGAAACAGATAAACTAACCTCCAGTGTTGGAAAACGACACGTGTTTTCGTCATTTAAAACGAAACTACACAGCTAAAACAACATGAGTGCAAACAAAACCAAAGCTGCGGGAAAACCCTCTTCTGGCTCTAAGACAAGACCGAGAGAGCAGAATAGCGCCAAGGGTCATGGCCGTTATAATGGCAATAGGTCCGAGTTAGTGAGCGAGACAGAGGTTCAAACATCAGCCAGCCAATGGCAGGGACAGCCTGAGGGTGAGAGCAATAGCGCCGACGATAAGGACGATGAGGTGAAACAGAAACTGCTGCAAGTTCTCTGGGGAAATTTGGAGCATCTACCTCCTCTCAGCTCCAAGATTGTTAGAATATTTACCAGTTCCACATTCACAGGTGAGCAGGCACAATTTATTTACTTCTTCCTCTTCCTAACCTTCTCTTTTACCGCTTCATGTGTCGACGGAGATTTAGGGTTCTTCTTCTTTTTTTTTTTTTTTTTGTTCTTCTCGTTCTTGTTGTTGTTGTTGTTCTTCTTCTTCTTCTGTTGCTGCTGCTATTGCTGCTACTTCTTCTTCTTCTTCTTCTTCTTCTTCTTCTTCTTCTTCTTCTTCTTCTTCTTCTTCTTTTTCTTCTTCTTCTTCTTCTTCTTCTTCTTCTTCTTCTTCTTCTTCTTCTTCTTCTTCTTCTTCTTCTTCTTCTTCTTCTTCTTTCGTTCGTTCGCTTGAAATATATTGTCTACGTCCAGTATAAACTAGCTCTAGTATAAACTTCACTGTCTGATGTAATTCAGTCAGCGATCTGTACAGTTTGGCTTGCACCGACGCTTCTCTTGGCCACAAGTTTCACCTTGACATGTTGTATTTAGAACAGTCTTAGAGGAAACGATCTAAAAGGTTTTGCTTATTCATTTTCTAGCTGGCACAACCATAAACACGTCCTGCTCTAGTAGATTTCTCTGATGCTATCTTTGACTTGCTCTTAGTCTGCCTAATGCTCTTCGTCTTTTTCCTTTTGTTTATGTATGCTTTGTATTGTATGGCGTCACAAGCCATTCTCTCTCAGTGAACAAACCATTTGATTTGCTTTCTGGGCATGTAATTAAGAATTTGTTCCGTGTCGACGTTTTCTATTATTGCCCCATTCCTGATTTTATCTCTTTTGGTCATTACCGCAGTCCTTCTCAGATATGGTTACCCAGGTTCTTTCCTGTTTTGTTGTGAGTGACTGTGTCTGCCACTGGAAGCATAGATTAGCAATGAATATGCTTTTTGTGAGATGTTTCTTTGTGCTAATTCTACTTTATCTTAGTTGTTTCTTTGTACTGATTATCTCCTTACCTTTTGGCTTGCTTTGTTTTAAAAACAAATCGTTACGTTCAACCAGCATCCTCGAAGTTAGAGCTTCTGGTTATAATTGTGACTATGTTATGTGAGCCATATAAAATAAAATGGTTTAGGACACTGTTCGGCACAGCTCTGAAAATAACTCTTGCAGTGTTGATGCGATCAAAGAAGACAAACCCAAATAATGTCCCGACCTGCGACGAAGTCGTTTACCAGCCAGACAATAGGCGACCCGGTTGCTGATATTTATTTGGGTAATATATACTTCGAGCTCTCTCCCCCACCCCCCCCCCCCCCCCCCCAAAAAAAAAAAATGTGTGGCACTAAACGACCCATCTAACCATGAATCGAGCTCTCTTTTTTTTTAAATTTCAGATTATTTCAGATATGTTATTTTATTTATTTGCCATTCAGAACATGATTAATGATAAAAATTAATATTTTTTATCATTATGGAGTATTTAAACAAGGTTTGGGTCGCGTGAGATTCTCCTGCTCCCAGAAAATTAAGTAGTAGGCTGAGCGCTCCTCGTGTTTTCTTTGTTTCGGCACTCCCGCTTACAACAACAACACTACGCGCGCACGCACGCGCACTCACACACAAACATACACACACATACAAACACGCTTGAACTACAAGAAAATATCTAAGGGGGCGTGATTAACATTCTGATTAAAATCTTGAGGTTAGGGGCTGCATTAAAAGTAAATAACAACGATGATATTGACAAAGATCTCGTTACCAGCCAAACAACGGATGATCAACAGCATTTTCATCCCTATGTTATGTTATCAGTGCCAAACGTGGACAATGAACAAATCACATATGCAAAAAATAACTACGTGTGAAATGCGATGTCTCCGAAGAGTCACCAACAATACACGAAGAGACAGAGACACAAACGTCAGCATTAGAGACAAAGTTGGAACAAGAGCAGGCATGGAACATATTGAAAGACAGAGAATGAAGTGGTTTGGCCATTTAGTAAGAATGCAACCGGATCAGATTGCCTATAAGGCCTTTTACAGTAGAACATCGGGAAGAAATGCCAGAGGAAGACCCAGGAAAAAATGGATAGATGGAGTAGCTGAATACGGCCAGAAGATCCAGAAAACTGTCACTCAAATCACGCGAGAGGCACAAAACAAATATTTTAAACCACGACACTGGGCTGCAACCCGGTAAAAGTGAAGAAGACAATAGACAGACACTGACAAAGAATTGTTTCTGACAAAAATAATTACATTGTCCTCTTATGAAATAACTTGAAAAATCTAAAACATCTGGTGATGCAGCTACTGCATATCAAAATTAAAAAAAAAAAAAAAATATTAATGTTGAGGTCTTTAGGCGTATATGAAATAAGTTGTTGGATTCATAAATGTGCAGAAAAACCAAAATAAAAGAGACGAGATGCCTGATGTGGTTTGTGACGCAGATTTCCAACAGTCCTCTAATATAAATAATAAGAGAATCTTCCTGTTAAAGGAAGTTACATATATCTATACATTGTCATCCCTTTGTGGGATGCAATTTTTCGTTATTTGAAGCCCTACTCTGGCTCTTGCCAGAGGCCGCAATATAGCCCGGCCATAAATATGGTCTAATGGCTGAACGCGGTGTCTGGGTACTTTCCACGGTGATCCTCATCCACATTGTGGCACTTTGTATCATTGGGTGTTTATCGCTTGTGTGATGTCCTAGTGGGAAAAAAGTAGATAGATAGATGTTGAAGGGAAGAATGTTTCCATAACATAAGAACATCACGTTATAGCTGAGTTTGCGATTATTGCTATGTGTGACTGTGCAGTAACAAAAATCACAGCTTGTCTTCATCCTAAAAATGGAGTTTGCATACATTGCCACCAAGTGAATTCTGAGTTATCTCGTCAAAATCACATCTGAAAGGTTACCAGAAGATTCAGTGACATGTAACAAACTAAATCTTCATATTCATGCATGCCTATATCCTGAATCACCCCAGCAAATCATTCAACCAGAACATGAGCTGTGCTAGAAGTACTCTATTTCCTTCACGCCGTTTAGATCTTTTTTAATTTGTAGTCGCTGTACCTGAAATAAATTCTGCTCTTTAGAAAGATCAGCACAGCGACGAATCGATTGTTAAAACTAACCTTGTGGTCCCTAGTAATGTTAATATTTTGGTGTCCGTTTGGTAAACAAATTGACCTTAAGGTTACGTGTGGGGATTGATCTGTGGTAATTTGTGTTTCAGTTTAATTTATTGATTCCATGGGGCTTCAATTGAAAACCTTAAACATGTGACAAAAACTACAGTAAACATGCCATCGTTTCGTAACCTATCACTATTGTTGTTGAAAACGTCAAGAGTGTAAAGCACATGATATCGCGGTGCAGACGAACACGGTGACTTCAAAATAACAGTTTGAATTACAATTGGGGGTGTAATGTGGCGCACTGCAACGGGGCCGAAAGTAGGAGGGTGCAAGGGTGGGGCTGGGAGGCGCTTATTCCTAGTTTAAGATCATAACATTAATTATACACCGTCCGCCGTGGAAATCAGAGGATTGTGAAACGCACACCACAATACGCCACTAAGTCTGATAAATTTTCTGAAAAAATCACAAAGAAATGATCAAAAATGATGTTTACTTAAAAATAATAATCTCTGCATATCTTTAAAAAGAGAGACAGATTAGTTTTTAAAAAATAATCTGGGTTATTGATTAGGTCATTAAAAAGTAGACATCAGAACTCTTGTTTGAACGGTGAAGAGAAAATTTTGTATTGACTTCCGTACAATATTGCATTCGTTTTTTTCTTTTGTTTCATGAGCGTGTCTTTGATGCCTTTCATGACTATTGGATTGTTGTGCAATCTTAGGATTTCACCTTTTAAAGTTCTGCCTTTCGTCCGACTTCAAAGGAAATGTGGTATTAAATAAACTCACTTTTATGACTAATGTAAATTGTCTTGCTTGAAATGCCTTCCTCTCTCTCCCATTCTCTCTCCCATTCTCTCTCCCGTTCTCTTTCCCATTCTCTCTCCCTTTCTCTCTCTCTCACCCCTCTCTCTCTCACCCGCTCTCTCTGTCTCCATTTCTCTCAAATCTGTCTCTATATGTGTGTATTTTATTCTGTGTCTCTCTCGTTCGCTATCCCTCTGTCTATTTCTCTCTGTGTATTCATCTCTCTCTCTCTTTCTCGTTCTCTTTCTCGTTCTCTCTCTCTCTCTCTCTCTCTCTCTCTCTCTCTCTCTCTCTCTCTCTCTCTCTCTCTCTCTCACCTCATCTCACTTCATGTCTTCTTAGACCGCTACTATTACAACTCATGCGAGTCTTCGCTACGTAATCCCAACTTGCAAAGCTGAGCCCTGTTAAGTCATTGTTTACCAGTATCCACAAATCGATTCTTCGACCAGATAATTGTCTTTCTTTATTACAGGCACCTTGTCATCGACGGCTCGCTTTTTTCACAATGAGAGACATAAAAGACGTCACGAAAACGTCAGACATAGAGTACAACTATTCAGTTCGAAGATGGCTTTCACATATTTGCCAAATATCTCCAGACACTTTGGCAAGACGGCTTTCTAGTAGATGGAAGATAGTGAAAGGGAGGGGGGAAAAAAAAGGGGGGGGGGGGAGAGAGAGAAAAGAGATGTGGGCGACATAAGGAAACCAGAAGAAGGGCGGTGGACAGGAAATAAAGGACTGCAAACTGCCATGGAATACCATGGGCAGAAAAGCAGCAGGCGGCCAACAACGCCGATGTTGCTCTTTATTTTATAAAATGAGGATTTTGCTCACCAGCCACTTACGCCAGTTGCGCATCAGCCAAAAGGTGCTAGACTCATGCTTTTATAGCCCTGGATGGTTATTTGGTCACTGTCACACCGGTCGCTTTTACTTCCCAGACTTTACCTGGTAGCCAGATAGAGCTGAGTGGACCTAGGAGCCAAGGCCAATTCTGAAACAAATCTGACTCGAAACGGATTCGAACCTAAGATTTCTTGGCCGGGCGGCGGAGTGTTTTAGCCATGTAGAGTGCTTTATGTAGAGTGCTGTAATGTCCTGATCGTATTTAAGCCCTTTAGAGTGTTGTAACAGTCTGTTCCCATTCACAGACACAACACTGGAGCGGAACAATCTCATGGAGAAAGTGTACCCCAGACTCAAGGACTACTGTCGGGAGAGACATGGGCTGGAGTTTCAGGTACAGCAAACACACATATAAATATACACACACACACACACACACACACACACACACACACACACACACACACACACACACAGAACATGAATCACACACATATATATTTATATATCACACATGCACAGACAAATGGTGTAGCATGAATCAGACAGTGAAAAGGTGTATATATAAAATGACTATATTGTATAAACAAATCGATTGCCAAACGTAAAAACATACAGTCAGACTGACTGATAAACAGGTCAACTGACTGACTGACACACGGATAGATAGGCGGAGTTACTGATAGACAGACATATAGACAGACATATAGACAGGTGACTGACAGACAGATAGAAATTGTCTGCACTCCTGAAAGTAAAGGACTTTTATCCGCACCTTCAGGCGCAATGGTCACATAATGCTAGAGCTGTTTTTGAATTTAAAAAAAAAAATTATTTGATTAATCAGTCGCTAGAAAAGTAAGCTGCGTCTCCTTTACAGGGCGTTGCAGAGCCAACCCCAGCATTTTTTTTTCTTTCATTTTTTGAGGTTTTTCTAGGCAAATGTTAACATTCAGTTGTTTGACATTGCTTACTTAACGGTCAGCTCTCGGTACCCGTGTCGAAACCAACGCAAGATGGTCTGCTGCCAAACAACTTGCAGCTGGGATCGAACCACCCAACTCATAATGCATATTTGTTTGTGTGGTAACCACGGTGGAATGACTGCTAAACGCTCAACTGCGGATCCGGAGGTTATGGGTTCAAACCAGATTTATTTTCTTCAAGACATGACCTTGGCTCCAAGGTCGGCCCAGCCTTCTGTGGGTACCAGTTTAAGTCGTGGAAAGTAAAGGCGACCGGCCACATCAGCCATCGAATGTTGACTGCTCCATAAAATATGGGTCTAGCACTATGTTCACAATGCACCTACAGTTGTAAAAAGGATCCTTTGTTGTTGTAGATGGTGTTGTTGGTGTTGTCGTTGTTGGTGTTGTTGTTGCTGGTGTTGTTTTTGCAGGTGTTGTTGTTGCAGGTGTTGTTGTTGCAGGTGTTGTTGTTGCAGGTGTTGTTGGTGTTGGTGTTATCGTTGCAGGTGGTGTTGTTGCAGGTGGTGTTGTTGCAGATGTTGTTGTTGCAGTTATTGTTGTTGCAGGTGTTGTTGTTGCAGGTGTTGTTGGTGTTGGTGCTATCGTTGCAGGTGGTGTTGTTGCGGGTGTTGTTGGTGTTATTGTTACAGGTTGTGTTGTTGCAGGTGTCGGTGTTACAGATGTTGTTGTTACAGGTGGTGGACATGCGATGGGGAGTCAGGGATGAAGCCACGGATGACCACATGACCACACAGCTATGTATGCAGGAGATCGAGAACTGTCAGCGAGTGTCCATGGGACCCAACTTCATAGTAAGTGCAGACATAGAATTGTCAGTACAAGATACTCTTTATAAATTTTTTCATTGAGCAGAGACGCTGGAATCTTTGGGTAGGGTTGGGGAGGGGTTGGGGGTTAGACCCCATTCAGGCCCCCTAGACAAAAATTAGTGGCCACTCCCACCTTCCCCATTCTAACCACGTGTAAAAGTTCACTTTTAAAATATTTATTTATACAAGAAATATTATTTCAAAAGTCGTATTATATTAACTTGCCATTCCGTTATTATTATTCTTTGTATTATTATTATTACACCCATAAACAAAGCTCACATCCCCTATGTTTCTCCACAACCCCCCACCCTCCCCCGGTCCCCATCGCCACCAGATATCTTTACTTCTGTTCCCCTTTTGTAAGTGTATGTGACTGATAAGAAATTCTTATGCGGTTAATTTCGTGACAGTGTGTGTACATGCGAATGTTCACAAACGTTATTGTTAATTACATAACACATGTTTAGTAAGAAATGTGATAGACAGTACATTAATTGCAGGTGAAGCTTTTGACAGAAAATTGTGATTATTGTTGTGTCTGGAAATGTTTTATGGGAAATATTCACAATTATTATAATAATTATATTGTAAGTTTATGCGTTGGATAGTATCATCATCATCAGGTGCCTTGCCGACTGGCGTGGGCGATCATGCCTTTCCATAATCTGCCATCTCCTGCAGCATGTATCAGTTCGTGTGCCGCCACACTTCCATGCCATGCAACAAGACTGTCAAGCATCTTCTCTCGTTGTCTTCCTCTAACCCTCCTTCCACAGATCTTTCCAGTGGTCACAACATGTTCTATTTTCCCTCTTCTCATAACATGGACGAAAAATGATGACTGTCTCCTTCTGATGTCTGTGATAAGTTGTCTTCGGACTCCCGCCTCTTTCAAAACCTCTTGGCTGCTCTTTTTGGCTGTCCAAGGTATTCTAAGCATTCTTCTGTAAAACCACATATCCGAGGCCTCTAGAAATTGTTTGGCCTGTCTACCGACTGTCCAGGATTCACAACCATATGTTAAAACTGGATGTATGTAGCAAGCAAGAATTCTTTTTCTAACTCTCAATGACAAGGATATATTGCACAAGATGTTTTTCATTTTATAAAATGCAGTTTTTGCCTGTCCTATTCTGTTTCTTATCTCAGTTATGCATCTTCCATCTGATGTTATCCATGTGCCCAGATACTTAAATTTCTGTACTTGTCCTAAAATAATACCATCGACTTTTATTACACATTTAGGAATAATTCGTTTTTTTGATACCACCATTACTTCTGTCTTCCCATTCTTCCACTTTCTAACACTACAGTGTCTATCAAATCCTGTAGTTCTTTCGGACTTGTTGCTATCAAGACTGCTGTGTCATCAGCATAACGTAAATTGTTTATATTGTGCCCACCAACCACAATTCCGGGCATATCATTTTTTACAAATCAGGTGACATTACACATCCTTGTCGTACGCCCCTCTTTATGCTTTGAAATGTACCTAAACAGTTGTTAATTCTTATAGCTGCTGTTCGCTGCCAAAACCTATTCTTTATTATTCGTAGATCTTTCCCATTAATGTTTTTATTTTTTCTAACAGTTTGATTACTTCTTCATGCTTCGTCCGTCAAATACTTTTGTATAGTCTATGAAACATAAGTACAAATCAGTCTTTACTTCTATAGCTCTTTCTGACAAATTCCTTAGGATATATATGGCATTGTTTGTACCTTTTCCACATTATTCATCGCTGATTTCTGGTTTAATGTTGTTACTTATTCTTCTCATAATTATTTTCAGTAAAGCTTAGTCGACTCATAAGACTTATTGTGCGATGGTCTTCACATTTTATAGTGCCTGGTTTCTTTAACAGAGCTATAAATATGGATTTTAAACGGTCATTTGGAATATACCCACTACTATAAAAATCATTTAAAAGTTTTGTTTTTGTTTCAATTCCAAAATCTCCCAGTGCTTTGATTTCTTCAGTGGCGCGGTGATTTCGGTCACAGGCATGAGGCAAAGTTAAGTCTGATGTGAGGTGTATAAGGAGATACTCCGTACCCCACTCGGGCGCCAGTCCTTCACTGTTCTGGTTTTACGGAACCTCATGCAAGACTCCTGCTGCACGTTCCCGTCGTGCGCCACGGATAATGTCTCAAATGAGCATTAACAGAGTTGGCAGGGGATCTCGGAGCTGGCGGCCCCTAGAGGTGTAGTGTCCTTTCTGGCTCTCACCAGCCCGCCCCCAAACGCATGGGTGAAAAGTCTAACAAAACTCAATAATTGCTTGCTAAATGTACCATCAAATGACAACTCTTGATTAAAATTCGGGAGGGAATTTAAAACTGTGCTGCTGAGACTCAACCCTGACCGAGAGATTTACCCGCAGCCAAGACGAGTAAAATCTCTTGTGGGCGACTTCTCGCAGCAAGATCCTACCTACGTACATCCTCAATCCTCAGTGTCGTCGTCACCGCGCTGAGGTACACCACGGCAGCAACTCTTCATATGCTGTCTTGGAAATAATGTCCGACAAAGTTATACTCCACGGCACACATGCAAGCTCAGAGTCGGACGATCATAATTCGTACCGATTAGAAAAAAGTCCGAATGTCCGTATCCACTGGTCCAACTCGCCCGAGTGTTGGGACCAAACAGGTGAAGCCACGCCTGACGCATTTTGCTTCTCCATTCTGTCGTGCTAAGGGCACAGCTGAAACAACGTTAAAGGTGTCTAACGTAAGATGAAAAAGAATGTACCTATTTGTGTGGCCACAAACGTCCTAGACCTGCGGGCTACTCCCCGCTGATCTCCGGAGAGCGCAGCCTTGTAATGCGGGAAGCTCAATACACGGTTGTGAGGTTAAGCAGTCATGGGCAGGACGTGACGATTCCTTGGGTGAGCCCAGAACCAGAGCATCATGTGTCGGCTCTGCATTTATGGAAGCCTCCTTGGATGGCGGGGAATGCCCATGATCTGCCCCTGCCTTCCCTTGAGTGATGATAACAAACTCTACATAGAGCTGCCTTAAGGACGACATTCCGGTGGCCACACCTGTTAAAAGTCAAAGAGGACACCACACAAATGAAGCAACATCTTGACCCACACAAAACAATGGCCACAGTCAACCTAGAAATAGGCATGACGTCTTCCTCCGAAGTCGGAGTACATCTGCCGGAGAGGCGGGGAACGAGAACTGCAAACAAATAAGCCAGTAAAACGGATGTACACGCAAAACTCAGGTCAAGGTAAAAGCCAAAAGTCCATTTTGGACGACTTACCGCCGGAATTCACAGCCGGTGAACAAGAAGAAAAAGAAGAAGAAGATTTCTTCCAGTGAGATGTTGTCTGGCCCGGGTGCTTTTCGTTTCCTTATTTGATGTATTACATCCTCAACTTCTGCAGTAATTATTGGTGGATGTTGTGTGCTAAATTGAGTCAGCACACTACCAAGTGTCTAGCAGGTACTCTTCAGCTTCCTTTCTTAACAAGACAACTCGACGACGATGACACCGTCATACAAGTTTATTTAACAGGATACATGACACAAATGCAGAGACGTAGTTATTGATCACAGCTGACATTCGCACATCGTTCATTTGTCCTCACAGCTTTCTAACTCTCAATGTGTAGTGACCTCTCCTGGACTATTGCAGATACCAGGGTGACGGCGTCCCACTCTCTGGACGCGTCGTACAGCTGAACAGGACGACTTCTCCCATTCACTGGACCTTGATATTAATTCAGCATACAACACGGCTGACTGGAGACGGACTTCTCTTGCCGTACTCCGGAACCAGACACTACTGGTCTTCCCGTCCCCTGGACTTACTTTGCCAGCGGGACCATATTTCCCATACCGCAATCCCGACACTTACTCAGACCTAAATGCCCGATAGTCGTACGGTATTCTAGTCGGTTAGACTCCAATGACCGACAGGACTTCTACCATAAGTCCTCTCATACTTTTGACATGTACCGCAATCCCGACACTTACTCGGACCTAAATGCCCGATAGTCGTACGGTATGTTTGTCTGTTAGACTCGAGAGATTACCTGGACCCTGACTTGGTCTCTGACTCTCGTTTTCTCTCTCTTCTCGCTTCTCTCTCTATCTTGACTGCCCCCGAGGGGCTTTAGCCCTCAGGCTACAGCTCACTCTCTGGACTGTCTACGCAGCCCAATTTATATATGTCGAATCCGTGTAAGTGGATGGTGATTACACGAGAGGCACGCTTGTGTGGGCGTTCTCATGAATCATGATCCTGTGGGTGTTGTCGGGACTCGCTCATGTGAGCGTTCCCGAGGATCACGCTTAGGTGGGTGGCTGATGTTACCCGAGAATCACGCTGTCACTTAATTCACACTTTATCTGTTATCCACGCTTTCAGCCCACCACACAGAAACCCACGCGTCCACTTTCTCTCGTGCATGCACGCTTTGTTCATGAATAGACGTTTTCACTGGTCTCCTCTTAATACTCGGATCATATAGACACTCTTTCCTCGTGAACTTACAGGCAGTACAGTCATACCATTGTCCCTTCCCACAATATCACACTTAACCCAAATCAGCGCGCAACATCATATCCTCCCCCTCTCCCAACTGACAACTAACTGAAATTAAGTTGTCAGTTGTAGTGTTAGAACAAATCCTTGTTGCGAGCTGATATTACTATTATAATAATCATTGGACATGTGATATCATAACATTTCATAACATTTCTGTAGTCAACTAAAGTATCATTGTATATCTCAATACAGCAAACACTTGGCTATTAATATCTAATTTTAACAACTATGTCCTGTTTGATACAGTGTAAAGCGGCCTTCAAACAGGTAGTGGGTAAACTTGAACACTGTTGTACACCATCACAGCTCTCCTTTTCTCGATGCTGTATTCTGTCTCTTGCTGGTGTTAATCTTCTGCAGGCATACATGACTTGGATGCAATTGACTTTCAGTCATATGGAAGTACACCGCTC